CTAGCAAATCTAACACAAATTTACAGCAGATTATTTACACCAACACTTGGTTCACATTTACAAACTTTTAATTCACAGTAACAAGGTAGCGATGCAAAATTACAGAAATATAAAATGAATTTATATTCTGTGCATGTAAACATGTGAATAGCATCTATCTATCGATCAAACATACATTTGTTGTTAAGGAGATACAGATATATATGTGTAAGTGTAGCGATTTCGTATAAAGGTGACCGCAGTTTTATCTTAAATTCAGTGCGTGTCTACTGAAATNTTTTGTCTTAAATTCAGTGCGTGTCTACTGAAATATGACAGATCACACAGAAAATATAATATCGCCATGGGAAATCGAGGCTTTTGTTCAAAATTTAGACATTTCAGTCTTGGAAAATGTCGGTACGAAAAGGTACATGCATATATATACGTGCTTATAGATATGTTGTAATTACTCAGAGTACACTTAAAGATTGACAAAGATACACTGTATTCTCTAGCTGGTTGGAATTCCACAAAAGGCTGACATTGTTAAACCAACAGAGCGTACTCGAAGTAACAGGATTGCGTGAAGAGAGTGTTATAGAATGGTTTACCTCATTAAAAAAAGTAAGTTATTAGATTGAAATACTATATATATATATATATATAGTTGTGTAATTTATCTAAACAAAAAATTTGTAGTTTTTAAAAATAAAACCTACATTTTATGTGATAATTAAATAATTACTCGATTAATTCGCATAAAATACAGAAAAATTAGACTTTAATATTTTTATATAGCTACAGATAATAAGCATTTTGATTGATTGATTCTCAATCAATTGATTTATTCTAGATTCCTGTTCTTATACACGAAGTTATACAAATCGACATATGGAAGCACAAAGTGTTTCCGCATTTAATTGATCTTAATAACAAGCCTTCAAATACATTTATGCTATTCAGCATACTTTATCATGAGGTCGTCGCAGCTTCGTTACTAGAGAATGTATTGTTTCATTGTGAAAGCGCGCAAACGTTAGACGATACGGTAATCGATCTCATCGTTTATGCTGTTCAATGCGTGACAATGCTTCTCGATGAGAAGTCTTTAGAGATCTATGAGAGTCTCCAAATCAAAACTCCGAAGTAAGATATTAAACTTACTTATGTTTATGGATTATGGAAATGTATATTCAGACTCAAATATATATATAT